CTTAGTAGTAATATTAATTATATGGTATATATATAGGCAAATTCATTGCTCAATCAAAAAGAAAGAAAGAAATTTTTATCCAATTTATAGAAAACAAAGTTATAGTTTCCTGAACCGTCATGCAAAAAAACCAAAAAACAACTGGACTGCCCCCTATGAAACTTTACCTTATGGATATGGATAAGGCCACAAAGCACGAATCATCCCGAGTGAAAGGGCATGAAGCATCACCTGACTGGCCTTTTACTATGTTAGTCAGTGGAAGAAGTGGAACAGGTAAGACTAATTTACTTGCAAATCTTGTTCTCGGTGATAAAAGTGAGCATATATATAAAAGACTAAAAGGTGGATCCCGATATATAAGATGCGATGATTTGATAGTTTGCGGTTATCATCCGGATAAGCCTAAGTGGGCATTTGTCAAATATATGTATGGAATAATTGCAAAGGATCCTAGTGCCCTATATCATGAGAATATATGATTCAGCTATATCTCTCCCGAAAGAATACCAAATGTGAAATCATTTTCACCAGAAAGAAGCACTGTCATCATTTTCGAAGACTTATGTATTGCCCCGGAGCATATACAAAATCAAATCATCCCTTTCTTTACTCATGGGCGTTATAGAAATATTTCAAGTATATATATTACACAGAAGTATCATAAAGTTCCCATTATTATTTGTGAAAATATATCCCATCTAGTGATATTTAATGCTGAAGGCAGTTTTCAAGATGTGTCCAAGATAGCCGGTCGATATACTAATGATGTTAAGAATGCATCGATGGTTATAAATAGTTACCTCCGAAAAGGTGAATTTATTATATTTGATCTAGATAGACCCGAGGATGATCCTCTTGCAATTCGGCTAAGGTTTGACACTCCATTAAATCTACAGAAGGAAATAGAGATAAGGCAGAAGCACAAGGAAAAAAGCAATCTAGCTAATTCATAATTTCAATGACAACTCCACCGTTTTCCTAATGCTATTCTTGAAATCACAATTGAGTAATATAATTTATACATTAATATTTACTTGCAATATATATAAGAAAGAAATAAAAATCTATGAAGTATATATTTACATTTTTTTTCGTTTTTGGCTACAAATTTGAATTGCGATATTCCTTAATATAGGTTGATAAAAAATCGCTAAAACGCTATAAATTGCTAAAAAACGCTATAAATCACTAGAGTCGGCTATAAACTATAAAGAGTAAAAAATGGTTAAAACCAACCATAACTACTATTCTAGTTTAAATCCTGAAGTAGTGCAGGCATTAAACAATCTGCAATATAGTTATAGCGATGAAACACCAGAAATGTGGTGTTCTCGTATTCGTTGTCCATTTAAAAAACTTCTCGAATATAACTCAAAATACTTCTCTAAGAATGGATTTATCCAAATGATCGAAAGAGTATATATAGATGGGGAATTTAATGCTGGAAGACGCTCATTCCACATTTATTGTACTGTATGCGACTCCTTAGTTATTATTCACGAAAATACAATCGAATATGCAAATAATCACCTAAAGAAATGTATTACTGAAACCACTAATATGCATTCTAATCCTGTACGAAAGAATGTGAAAAAAGAGGGAGGAGTATCATCACTTGGCATTGATATGGTTGATAAGATATATGAGAGATATTATTTTATGTATAGTAAAGGCTTGAGCTATTATGATTATGATTATAAACATTCAAATAAAAATGAAGTTAAAAAAAGGATTGTAGTTCGCATAATTAACAGTATAACAGTTCTTCAATAGGCTTGGAGGACTTACAAGTTGAGACCCGAGACATGGGCAAGTCGAGTTTGGAATATTGTGAGGAATGATACTACTCCTGATGAGAAGAAGTTTTTAGGTATAACACCTCGTGATATAAGAATTCCTGATGATCGATATGTATGGTATGTTGATCGAAAAATTCTAGCTAAAGACGTACCTGCATATCATCAGAAATGTCGATATAATAATTATACTTCATGCGAGTGGGCAGAAAAGAAGAAAGATCAGTTAAAAGCATGATTAGATAATGTAGCATACATAGTTACTTTTATAGTATTACATCAGCAAGGCTATAGAATCATTTATTATGGTAGTTGGTCTTATATATTAAAGTGGTTATCAAATCCAGAATATTTCATATTGACAAAAAATACTGGAATTGTGATAATGAAAACTTTGTTATAAGTTCAGAATATGCACGATATATGTGTAAAATAGCAGGCATGCCATATCCATGTAATTCGCTAAAAATTGACTATTTCGAAATTGGATATATTAATATCTTGGGAAAGGAAACTAGTATAGACTTTTTAAATTTAAACAATAATTGTGAATATGTGCGCTGAGTTTTTCAGGCTATAAATGCTTTATTAAAATAACAGAAATTAATTTATTTTTTTACTCTATTCCAGAGATCATCTAGTAAAATCTACTACCTGTGGGTTTATGCAAGACAGGCAAAAATATTGTGATTTTTCTATTCTGGATTAGATTCTCTAATTTATAACAATTTTTAATATACTATTCTAAGAGTTCAGAAAGATCAATGAAGCGATCCTGGGGATTCTTAATTCCTAAATATTATAATTATAGCTTTGAGAATTTCTATGCAACAGTTATCTAACGGGCTTATAGAAGTTACAAGAAAAGGTCTGGATCATTGGCAAAACGAGTCTGGAAAGCAGTGAGAAATGATAGCACTCCTGATAGAAAGAGATTTTTAGATATACTTTCAATTCCTCAAATGAAAATAAATCCTTTGACGCAAGAAGAACATGCTTTACATTTTGATGAATTTGTTGATATGCTTAAAAAAGCAAATGCTTATCAATACTATATCAAAACATATAATATAGCCAAACTCACCACATATAAGGAATATATTTATTTTAGTCTTGATGAATAGGTAGAAAAAAAAAAGAAATATCAGTTAAGCCATCGACTAGATAAAGAAGCACATGATCTTGTTAAGGAAATATTAGAATGGCAGAGTTACAAACAAGGTTATATTTCACAATGGAGGCTCGATATTGTTTACCTTCCATGGAGATATATAATAGAATCATTACAGGACCCTGAAAAATATCTTATAAAAAAATTCAGCAGATATTTCATCAAAATAAAATAATATACTTGCTACAATGCATGTAAGCATATACAACCTATTTATTCGATTTATAGTTGTATAGCATTTTCCTAATGCTATTATTGAGATCACAATTGAGTAATAAAATCGCGAGAAGGCGGGTTTTGATATGAAATAAAAATTTCAAGGTGGATACATTCAAACTATTTCTCATCTTGTAGCTCAGTGGACTAAACCGCAGAAAGTTTATCGGGTCTTCCTCTCCTCGCTACATAGACAATTATAGTCTAACAATCACGCCCTCTAAAATTAGGTTTTTATAAGCGAGAAAAAACAAATGGAAAAAATATATGACATGCTTTCAAGGGAGGGAGTACACTGTTTCTAAACCATTTAATGCGAATCCCTGCGTCATATTATTTTCTAGAACATAGTCAGAGGCCCTATCGCTTCAATGATAGAAACGAAATTTTTTGCTTGACTAATGTAGAAATGGGTGGTTTTGAAAAATTTCATATAAAAATGAAAAAAAACAGAAGATTTATATAAGCCTTGTGCACAAGGAATGTTTCAAGTTGGTATGTGGCTCGCATTTGGTGATGCATTGCACATAATTAATGGCATCAATTATCCTTTTATAGATGGTATGTTTGTTTTCAAGGGTGGTTTATTTAACAAGCTCATAAATATTTGTACACCTTCAATAGGTTAGTGTTCAATATTCAATACGTATACGATTTATAGTGCACCATGATTTTCGCCCCCACCAATTTACTACACTTCATTTTATTGTAAGTTTAACGTAATTTACACAAAAGTTAACTACTGTTGAATCTCCCAAAACTAATCCTGTCAAAATCGATAACCCATCA